TAAGGCTCCAGGAATAGATGGTATACCAATTGACATATTTCAGTTAACAGATGCTGCCCTGGACGTGCTCACCAAGTTGTGCCAAGAAATCTGGAGAACAACCACTTGGCCAACTGACTGGAAGAGATTGGTATTTGTTCCTATCCCAAAGAAAGGTGACCCAACAGAATGTGGAAACTACAGAACAATCTCAGTGATTTCACATGCAAGCAAGATTTTACTGAAGATTATAAAAAAACGACTGGAACAGCACATCAACAGAGAACTACCAGAAGTCCAGGCTGGTTTCAGAAGGGGTCGTGGTACTAGAGATATTGTAGCTGATGTTAGATGGATCTTGGCTGAAAGCAGGGAATACCAGAGGAATGTCTATCTGTGTTTCATTGACTATGCAAAGGCATTTGACTGTGTAGATCATAACAAACTATGGCTGACTCTGAGAAGAATGGGAATCCCAGAACACTTGATCATTCTAATTCGAAACTTATACTTGGACCAGGAGGCACAGGGAACACTGCATGGTTCAAAATTGGGAAGGGCTTACGCCAGGGATGCATCCTATCTCCATACCTTTTCAACCTATATGCAGAACAGATTATCCGGGAGGCTGGGTTCTATGAGGAGAAATGTGGGGTCAAGAATGGTGGACGATTTATCAACAACCTGCGTTATGTGGATGACACAACCCTGCTTGCTGAAACTGAAGAGGACCTGAAGTGCCTGCTGCAGAGTGTCAAGGACTGCAGCCTATAATATGGATTGAGGCTCAATGTCAAGAAGACAAAGATTCTCACCACTGGATCAATTAGCAGCATCAGGATGGATGGTGAAGAGATTGAGATTGTACACAGCTTTAGTTTGCTTGGCTCCATAGTCAACAGTCTTGGCACCAGCAGCCAGGAAATTAAAAGGTGCATTGCCATGGGAAAGTCTGCTGTTAGGGACCTCTCCAAAGTGCTGAAGAGAACATTTAGATAGTCTGTAAAAAATTAAATGGGACAAAAAAGACTATAATAATTAAACAATACTGTAGCAAAAAGAGGGGCTACGCCTGTTTTCATCTTAAGTCCTACCCTTATGTAAGTCATGCCTTTTTATTAAATCACCCTCACTCAAGTCACACCCTTGTTTGAGTCACATCTTTTATCTTAAAAGAGACAAAAGGAGACAGAAGCAAGCAGAGAGAGGAGGAATATCATTACTACCTGGAAAGAAGAACCAGAAGTGGAGCACATTTTTGGATCCAGGATATTTGGTCTTAGCCCTCCTAGACTCCAGGAAAGAAGGATGTGAAGACACATTAGAGATAGCCAAGGAGCTCTGGGTCTACAGGTTTTGGAGGAAGATAGGGACCTTCCCTCAGAGCCTTCCTCTAGAGCTTGCATGCTGAATTGGACTGCTAGTCTTCTAAACTGAGAGAGAGTCTTTTTGTTAATGTCATCTACTCATGATATTTTAGGCATAACAACATCTTGATTCTAACCAAGAATGAGGTGATGCTCTAAATGGTACCTAAAATGTGGAAGTGCTTTTGAAATTGAGTAATAGGTAGACACTGGAAAGTTTTCAGGTGTGGCAAGAAGCTGCACTGCAATCCTGAAGGCACAGTTTGAGGCCACCAGCAGCTCCGTGGCAGAACGATGGGCAGTCTCCTCCCATGTGATTAACTGCCTCTGAAAACCTGCCGGAGTGCCAGGCTATGGGTCACTTTTGACTCTATGGTACACAACAACAACAACAGTAAAGCCTATGATGGTTAATATTGTGTGTCAACACATGGCCATGATCCTCAGTATGATAACTGCTATGCATTATAAATTCTAACCTCTATGATGTTAATTTAGGAGCTCTAGTGGCATAGCCCATAGGGAGTTATGCTGCTAACTCAAAGGCTGTCTCTCTGGAAGTTCGAATCTACCCATTGCTCCAAAGGAGAAAGATGAGCAATCTCCTCTCATGTGATTTTGAGCCTCAGAAAACACACTGGAGGGTCAGCTATGAGTCTGTTCCACCTGAATGGCAATGAGTTTGAGCTGAGTTGGTGATGTTATTGAGTCAGGATTCAACACAGATCTATAAAGATATGGTCAACCTGCTCTGATGAAGGAGGAGTCTCCTCGGGTATGACTTGCAATGACTATATGTATGAGTTCTCTGGAAGAGTTAAGAGTTTTTGGCCTGTGCTGCATCTGGCTCATGACCTCTAGATCTGACACTTTATCATTCCTCCAAAACTTGGCAGTCTATGATTGTCTCTTGGATCCTTCTGGCCAACAACTTTGGATCCGTCAGACTCTGAAGCCTGAAGTCCATGACACATTTTGGACTTTGCTGACTGAAAACTTCAGCCTCCCTAGACATTTCTCTTCTGAGGTCTGAACCACACACCCAGAACTTTCCAACCTCTACCAGCACATGAGCCATTTCCTTGAAATCTTTCTCTCTCTATGTATGTATATTTCATTGATTTTGATTCTTTAGGGAACCTAATCATACCAGCTGCCTTAAATACTTGGATGAGGAAGTTTAGAATCAATAAATTAAAGGGGACATGTAGTTTTTCCTTTGCCACTTATAGTATAAAACAAAAGGAAGGTAATGCGCTTAAAAATGAACCATGAGAAATTAAAACAAACAGATTTAGAAAATTCTGTTGTAGAAACTAAGGACCTATATCCTAGCATTTTCATCAAGGATATGGCTACACAATCTTTTGTCAAAGAGATTGACTGTGACTGCTAAATCTAAACAAACTATCACAGTAGGAAATTCATTAGTTTAGAATGAAAAAGAGAAGGAACAAAAGGAGAGAATGTGCTTTGCCTCTTGGAATTCTTCAGAAAAAAAGTCCAAACAAACCACAACGTAACAAAAACAAAAGGAACTTCATCTGTTGTCTTCCAAACAAACTCACTGCTGTTGAGTTAGAACAGATTTACAGATAGAACTCGATTGCATTTCCAAAGCTATACATTGCATGGGAGGAGATTGCCCATTTCCCCACCTTGGAGCCACTAGCTGATTCGAACTTCCAGAGAGTCAAGGATTTGGGGTTGGGAGCACATCTCCCTGTAGACTGTACCACCAGGGCTCCTTTCTTAACCTTGAGATTGGATGTAAATTGCTATGCTGGATTTTGAACTTTCTTGGTGCTCATTAACTTTTCATTATCTCAAACTTCTCCCACTTCTAATGGAAAAGTCTACCTCGTGCCTGTTCCACCACTGCACTTTGGAAACAGATAACTTGAGGTTTAGATTTAAGTTAACAGATAAAGAGAAGTTTTGCCCTCGTATGGAATATGTCAAAAGTCTCACCATATTTTATTTAGATGATTCAGAAGGTAAGATTTTAGAATTAGAGTAAATTTAAGACTTTTTGGCATGCTATGATGGAGGTGAATGTGTTTTACATGTAGAAAGGATTTAAATTTTGGAGGCCAAAGGGTAGAATATCATGGAATAAATTTTGTCTCCCTCTAAAATATGTGTCAGCTACATTGGCCCAGTATGGGTTTGTTGCCCACTGTAATTATACTCCATTTTGTAGTATACCATAAATTCTAACCTCTATGTGTTAATGAGGCAGATGTGAGGCCTTTTAAGATGACTCAAGTCACACCCTTACTCAAGTCCTACCCTTACTTAAATCACACTCTTATTCAAGCCCTACTCTTACTTAAGTCACACTCTCATTCAAGTCACACGCTTCTTGAGTCACACCTTTTGTCTTACAAGAGATAAAAGGAGAGAGAAGTGAACAGAAAGAGGAGGGACCTTACAACTACTACCAGGAAAGAACAGTCATGGGTGGACTGTGCCCTTTGGCCCTGAGAGCCCTGCTGGGAGAACCTCCTAGGCTCAGGGAGAGACTGACGGCAAGACACATGAAGATTTCCAAGGATCCCCTAGATGTTAAAGAAGAAAAGGATCCTCCCCCACCAGCGCCAACACAGAGAGAAAGATGGCATGCTGAATTTGGACTTTTAGCCTTTTACACTGTGAGGGAATAAATTTCTGTTTGTTAAAGCCAGTTACTGTGGCCTTTCTACTACAGTAGCACTAAATAACTATGACAGTGCTCTACAGGTTATATTTGGCTTGTACAGGTTTTGCTTTATCTATTTCACAGCAGGGGGAGAGGGATTAATCATGGAGGTGTACAGTTTGAGGGGGGTTGTGAGGGAAATTGGAAGAATCTATTCTGGAAAACAATGTATTGGAATTTTGTAAATAAACTGGTATTAAAAAAAATAAAATCAGATTGCTTCATGAATAAAAAAAAAAAAAAATAAATAAAATCAGATAACCAGGTAAAATACTCCACGGTAAAAATCTTCTTAAACTGAGAAGTGATTACCCACACTCTCCAATTCCCACAGCCCACTTCCTCCTATTACATTAGAGCAGCTCTGTTGCTACTTGTTGTGAGTTAAGTTTTCAACTCACAGCAACAACATACAAGGCTTTAATCTTTATAGGTGCATATTGTTAGGTCTTTCTTCTTTGGAGCTACTGGGTAGGTTCAAACCGCTAATCTTTTGGTGAGCAAGAGAACCCTTACGTGTGTGCACCACCAGGGCCACTTCATTATTTAAGCCACTTGCCTTGGATCTTGTAGGCATTGGAGTTTGAGCCCTCTGACAAAAAGTCATATGGTATCTACCATGGAAATGATGGAATTTGGCTGAGTTAATGACTTGGGGCAGGCCTGGTGAAAGGCTCAGGGGCTCCCATGATTCAGATCAGAAGGACTGTTAAGGAGAAATGGGGAATCACCCATTGTCATTGCACAGAGTGTAGGGGTGTCAAGGAGCTCTTCTCTAGGGGAAAGGTAGTTTCCTACTTGTACAGCGTGGACTGTTCCACTGCAGTGTCTTTTTCAAGCAGGGGTGGAATTTAGGGCAGGGGACAGAAAAATTAAAACCATTCTGGCATCTTTTCTCTTTACCTTGTCCTATACTAGTTTGGGGTGGTTTTTTTTGTTTTGTTTGCTTTCTTTTCATACGGTTAGATCATCTGACCTGGCGCGGCTGCTGGCTTTGCTCAGCCTGCTCAGGGGTCTCGTGTCATCTGGGGCCAGCTCGGCACACAGAGAAGGCGCCTTCTCAGGAGGCAGCCCTTGCTTTGATACCTTCTCTGTCTGCAGCTCTTCCTTGTCGCCCTCCTTTGCCACCTCGGGGGTCTCTACTTTCTCTCCCTCCGGTCCTGCCTCCGGCGGCGCCGCCGCCGGCCCCTCTGGGGTCACCTTCTCTGCTTCCTGCCTCTTCTCTCCCACCTCTGGCTCTGCACCCTCCTCTACAGGAGGCTCCTCCCCCTCGGCTTCCTGGGCGCCCACCTGAGCGTAGGAGGGCAGTGTCTCTTGGTAAACCTGTGACAAGTCCCCCAGGGGCCCTGTACCTATCTTCTCCTCAAATTGACTGAAAGGCTTGGCAGAGAGGGGGCTGGTCTCCACCATCCCAACCTCAGTCAAAGGGAAATAGTGGGACACGATTTTCTCCTCTTCCAGGAGCTGGTAGCCCTTGGCCTTCTGGATGGAGGAAACAGCAATGGAGTGGAGGGATTTCTCAGGAATCTCCCCTAAAGGCTGCTCCACGGGCCTGGTGAAGGCCGAGCGGATCCTCTTCAGGCCCAGGTGACTTATCTCCATTATATTGAGGAAGAGGGACACAGAGGCCACTGACAACATGAAGAGAATGAAGATGGTTTTCTCCGTGGGCCGGGACACGAAGCAGTCCACTACATTGGGGCAGGGCCACCGGCTGCAGCGATACAGGGGCAGGATGCGATAACCGTATAGGAAGTAGTGGCCCACGATGAAACCCACCTCGAAGAGAGTCTTGAAGATGATGTGGCAGATGTAGGTTCTCAGCAGGGTCCCCTCCAGTCGGAACTTCTTGGTGCTTCTGCTGCTGCTGCTGCTCTTCTTGATGCTGCCCTGGTCTGGGGCCAGGGCCCCCCTCTCCCCGCCGTTGGCCCCCGGCTGCTGGCAGAGCTCCTCGGCCTCTCGCTCCTTGCGCTTCTCCTCCATGCGCACGTGGTGCATGGCGTGGCCCACGTACACCAGCGAGGGCGTGGACACGAAGATGATCTGCAGCACCCACAGGCGGATGTGGGAGATGGGGAAGGCCTCGTCGTAGCACACATTCTCGCAGCCGGGCTGCTGGGTGTTGCACACGAAGTCGGACTGCTCATCCCCCCACACAAACTCGGCGGCCGTGCCCAGGATCAGGATGCGGAAGATGAACAGCACAGTCAGCCAGACTCTGCCGATGACGGTGGAGTGCTCATTCACCTCCTCCAAGATGTTCCCCAGGAAACTCCAGTCACCCATTGCTCACCCACCTGGAGGGGGGGAGAAGGCAAAAGCTGAGAGGCCACTGTGCAATCCTGACTTAGCCTGCTTCCCCTAACTCTTGGGCCACCCCACGTTGCTGGAGCCCTCAAGGTTGAAACAGCACCTGTCGACTGCTTCACTTGATGCACGCTAGCAGTAGGGCACAAAAGAGGGGTTGGAGAATCAGCTTCTGTTAGCTTTCTCATCTATAAAATAGATTTAATAGTGATACCGGTTCCAGTTTACCTCAAATGAAAGAATAAATGAGGCAACATCAATGTAATTCCTGAAACCCCAGAAAAATGAGGATTCCCTGTTGACCATAAATAGAAGCCCATGATTATTTAGATTTAAATTAAGACCACAGATTGAAATCTTCATGAGAGGAAATGCTGAAAAACAAACCCAACAAAACCCACCTCTTTTACTATGGGCGTTTGAACAACCAACAAAATTATTGCATATATGAAATTGGTTGTAGTCATCTTACTTTTTTGACTGAGTCTAGATACATAAAGAAACTCTCACAGCCTAATGGGTGTAGAGTTATGCTCCAGCCTGAAGGCAGGTGATTAGAATTCACCAGCTGCTTCTTGGGAGAAAGATGGGCAACCTGTTCACATTCGATATAACAGCTGTTGGAGGGTCAGCTGTGAATTTATTTTGACTGCATGGCAATGAAAAGTTTGGTTTGGCTTTTTAAGATCTACCATGGACTGCTAAGAGAATGAACAGGTTCTTCCTGGAGAGAGTTAAACCAGGCTGCTCCTTGGAAGCAAGGATTCTGAAGCTTCGTCTGACATACTTTGGACATATTGCAAGGAGGGACAGTCCTTGGAGAAGGACGCCATGCTAGGGAGGGTGGAGGGACAGTGCAGGAGAGTTAAGACCCTCTATGAGGTGAATTGATTCAGTGACTGGGGTAATGGGGGTGGGTGTGTTGAAGACAGTGAGATTGGCACAGGATAGAGCAGGATCTGGGGCTGTTGAACATAGAGTTGCTGTGAGTCACAAGCAACTCGACATCACATAACAACAACAATAATGTGTTTAAAGGGAAGGTGAAAAGAACTGACATTTGCTGAACACCTGATTTGCACTTGACTTTGACATTTTATTATTTTATTGCATCTTGCTAGACTAATCTCCATGAAGGTAGGAACTACACCTGCCTATTTACCTCTCTACACTCAATGCCTATCACAGTATCCACATATATTAAAACCTCAGGAAGTGTTTGTGAACTTAATCCCAATACACGAGACAACTGAGCCTCAGAGAGGTGAATAAATGATCTCAGCCAGCTCACAAGTGGCAGCGCTGGCTGCCTGGTCCATTTCACTCTGCAGCTGAGATACCCTGATTGTCACTAGCACATCACAGTTCTCCACCTTCTGTACTTTTCATCTATGTTTCCTGTTTTCCAGGTTGAAATCTGGAAACTCTTAATAGCTTTCTGGAAGGAGGGCCGTATATTTTTACCATTACTCTTTCAACCCCAAAGAACTTGAACGGTGTTTTAGGGAAGGAACTGTGTTTCAGGATGGAGAAAGCCCACTAGGACACTTCTATGTTCCACCAAATGAAAAGACTTAGGAATCTGTAACACATAGCTGTTTCAGAAGAGCTAAAAATTGATCTGTAGGGGGAAAATACCATTAAACACAATAGTACATAATGCCCCTAGCACAGCAATGGCTAATGGAAATGGTATTGAATTCACGGAGGTGATGTGTGTAAACTGGGTCATTCACCCATTGCAGGCTGGCTGCCTATAAAGGACAATGATGAAAGTTCACCTCAACCCAGGATGGGTGTTTCTCCAGCTGAACATCTCTAGAGTTGTGGAGTTACCACTGTCCTTAGACCAGGGTAAGGTCCTGTGCTCTGGCCTTCCTCCAGACTACACTATGCTATAAGCCCTGAGTAGCTCACTCTACCCTTTGGGGACCCAGAAGCCTGATTTTCCTTGGCCAAATCAACTTCCAGGGCTAGCATGGGACTCATTCTTGGATGCATCCTGCTGAGATTGGACCACACTACCAGGACACCTATACTTAGACCTGAAAGGTGACCAAGGGATGTTATTTGTATGTGGGTGGAAAAGTAGATAGCATTTGATGCTCAGGCAGAGTATCTGCACTTGTGAGTAGGAGACCCTCTGGTGTGGGATTGAGCCACGGGTGGACGAGTGGAGTGGGTGAGTGGGATGCAGCTGGAGGCTTGTGGCCAGTATCCCTTCTGTCACACTCCATGTGGAACTGTAGGGATTCTGTACAATTAAGTTAGAATTTAGTCTTCTGAGTTATCACGGAAACATATTTTTCAAGGTAGTGAGACAGAGTGGCTAACACAAATGAGCTGTGCTTGGCTGAGAATTTAAATGCTGGTAGCCTAAAGGTTCAAACCCATCCAGTGGCACCATGGAAGAAAAGTCCTGGTGATCTGCTTCCATAAAGATCACAGCCCATTCAAGGGTATGAACATGTACGGCTAAGCACAATTGATAACAGTGCATCTAAATTCCAAAATCAATCTCCATAATAGTCTGTCTATGTGTTTCCTACTGCCAAGGGGGCCCTTTAGAGTAGTGAGAGAAGACATTCACCCTGAAACCCACAGCGTCCCTTTTCAGCAGGAAGTAGCTAAGAGAATAAGCCATCCCCTTTTCCTTATGAATCAGGGTGAAGTCTCTCTCAGGGAGGAGTGATAGGGAATGGCAAGGGACACACTGACAAAGGAGATTAATCAGAACTGGCTTTGACAAGCACTGTGGCAATTGGACAATTAAAACAGACATGGCGGGGCGGGGGGAAGAAGAACGAACTGGGGATGAGGGTGGAGAAAGCAGTGCAACAATGAATGAATGAAAACCCAAAATCTCTGTAAATGTTCATTAAAACTAATAAAATTTAATAATAATAAAAAAAGATCACAGCCCAGGAAATCTTATGGAACACAGTTCTGTGGTGACCATCAGGAGGCTGTCATGATTTGGAATCAGCTCAATGGCCCAATGTGACAGAAATGACAAGAAGAGAGAATGTGCTTTGGTTCAAATCTGTTGTTCATAGGGTTGCTATGAGTTGTACTCGAGTCAGCAGCTTCTAACAACAATGAACAACAATTATAACCTTGATATAGAACTTTTAAAATATATTGACAGATGGTATGGACTTCCATTTATCCTTGTTCTCTGAGTCCTGCAAATATTAGGGGAGAATTTGTTCAAATGAACTAATTCCATGGCTGTTGTTAGATGCTGTCAAGTCAGAACTGACTCACAGCTGACCCTCTTCGTGGGTCTTCACAGGCAGTAAATCACACAGAAGGAGATTTCTTATCTTTTTCCCATGGAGCAGTTGGTGGTTTTGAACTGTATGCCTTTGTGTTGGCAACACAGCTCCTTACCACCAGGCTACCAGAACTCCCAGTTCCATGGCTAATAATCTTTAATTATTATAAATTTTTTCTCTTTGGTAGAAATCAGATTCCTAACGTCTCCTACCTGATAGGCCTAGATCTTCCTTGGTGATAAAGTAGTTTTAACAACTGTCTAATTCTATTCCCCTTTTTTCACAAAATTCTTCAACTATTTGAAAAGATTTCTCCCTCTACCACGTACTTAAGTTTTTCATCTTTTCCTTACGCACCCCTCCTTCTTTAAGTGGAATGGATCGGCTTTTATTGTCTTTCTCTTCTTTACCATAAAATTATCTTCACTAAAGATCATGAAGTGAAACAATTATGTTTGAGGTATGAATTTGAAAATTTCTGCTTATCAGAGTACAATCTGTATTCTGCTTCACTGCTTAATAATAAGCATAAAGAAAAACTCTGGTCAGATGAAACGACAGACACCATTGAAATAATGCAAATGTCTTTTGTTTATCTCTGCAATCACAACATCATCATTGTTGATTTTGAATTTGCTGTTTTAAGGCAGAAATGGTAGTTCCACAGAAGTGGGGACACAAACTGTACCTGAAGGGAGCTTAAAAGATTATAGATGTACTCTTCAAAAACATACATCTAGCTCCATTAGTGAGAGAAAGGGGAGTTCCATGTGTTATGGGGGGTTCTTTGAATTAACTCTGAATTAATAGTGTAGAATGCAAAGTTTATTACAGATGAGTAACAATAAGGTGTCAATTTGAAGTTTTTACATACATTATTAAAAAGGAACTGCACCAATTGTTAGAACCTAGATTAACAAAAGAGGGATTTCTGGTGGCTTAATGGTAAGAAACTGTGCTGTAATTATAAAGACACGTAGTTCGAATCCACTTCTCTTGCAATTTACTGCCTCTGAAAACCGACTTTTGACATTGAATCAGCTACGGTCACTTCTGACCTAACAGCACACAACAATAATATGTTAACGAAAGAGCTGACTCAATGGTACTTAACAACAACAGATCAGAGAAAAAGACTTTTTTGTTGTCGGTGTTCTAAGGAGTGGAAGACTGACTTCCCACTGGTTTTATTATTGTTTTGATACTATTTTAATATCGCATGTATCTCACTCCATCTTTTTCTTTTTTATCTCACATCTACGAGTACTGCACCCTCTTCAGCCTCTGCTTTAGATAGGCCCTGGCCATCACCTACTCTGATTCCCCTCCTCCCCACTGGCCTGCCCTCCTCCAATCTCAGCTGTGTCAGTGTGTCCTCCACGTTGTCACCCAAGCAATCTACTGCTTGATGGACAGTTCACTAATGAACTAACAAACCCCTTGTTGCCACTGAGTCTACACCAATTCATAGCTGGCCCTCCCCTGGATTTCTGAGAATGTACATTGCATGGGAGGAGACTGCCCTTTTTTCTCCTGTGGAGCCTCTACTGAATGCGTCCTGCCAGAGAGGGATTACATTTGGGTCAGCAGCGCAGTCCCTGTGGACACTGCCCCCAAAGCTCCCTGATGAGACAGCTGTTGTGTGCCATGGAGTTGGAACTAACTCATAACCAATCCTCCAGGGTGTTTTCAGAGGCTTTAAATCATACAGG